TGGCCTTTGCGGCCCTGATTTAACCCTTCAGTTCCTCCACAGAAGCCGGACGGATGTTATCGTCGTTATCTTCCCTGAGGATGCGGTGAACCCGATCTTCCAACAGAATATCGCGGTCGATGTCGTCATTGTCGTCAACATCAATCTGAAACTGACGTTTCATCGTGTCGGCAAAGGCTGATGCTTTGTCGGCGGGGGACCACGCTGACATTGCTAAACTTGTCCGTTCTTAATGAATAAGCCTGAGTGTGAGTGAGGTTGAATATCTCCTCTCATTAACACGTCATCTACGGGATCGACAGAAAATTCAAAATTATGTTCATCGATGATGAGCAAGGGTCCCCACGACGGTCAGTTGCGAAGCCAAGCTTCGATACCGGCAGAGGAATGGAAAAATCTCATTTATGTTGGATAGGCAAGGTTTGAGTTTTCTGTCACTATAGACTGGTTCTTTGAGTAGGTACAACCAAATTCAGTAATGAAAGAGACCTATGACAGATCGGTACAGCACTATCTGCTTTGCCTTTTGATTAAAATTTCAGATTTTGCTTTGTGTGAAAACTGCAGAGAAAAACATACATCGTTTTCTCATATCGAAGATTGGCTATAGAACAGATCGCCGTTTGGACCCTTGTTAATTTCGAAAGGAGTTTTGCGTTTTTCATGGTTTCTATAGAGGTCGTGTTCGTAAGGGGAGATCATTCATACAGTGTGAACGTAAAAAGTATCCTCCTCTTAATATTTGAACGGAACAAGATTTTGAGGTCGGACAAAATTTACCTAAAAATGCACCACTTTCAGTACTTTCTGATTAGAAAATACTGTTGCATCACTCGTTGTCAGAGCTGAAAGAAAAAACCACGGATTTTTCGAAGTTTCTGCTGCTAAAATAATTGGAAATTGTAGAAAGATCAATCTCGACCACACATTCCAAATTCTACCAGCTGGAGCTTCTGTGAAATAATGCTGCGTTGTAGGCAAATCCTATTATTTCGGCAGGGTTATCTAACTTGAACAAGTCATTTATGTATATTTCAAAATCAATTGGTCCGAGAACCGTTCCTTGGAGTTTTCCAATCTCAATATTTTTCCAGGAACTCTGGGCGTTATTTATTCCAAAACAATAGGATGTTTTAGATAGGTATTTTATGCTTTATCCCTTGTATCAGTATGTGATGAAAATTGTTGGTATGAAAATGTCTGAGGAAGCTATTGTGTAACGAAACACGTGTTACGGTTTTGTAAACTGTTCCGTGAAATGATAACGATTGAGTATTACTTAAAAACAATACATTCAAGACAGTGTAACAATTTTTCATGACAAACGTTGGCAAAAGCCAAGGCAAGGTCTACAAAAACGAAAAGGAATTTTTCACCATCATTTACCAATTCACGAATTCGATTTGTTGCATCCATTGCATTCTCTGTAGACCAGGTTTTTCTAAAAAGTGTTCATTAAAAACTGCTATCAACTGGTTTTTCAGTTGGTTTCAGGTGCTCTCAGAGCGGTGCCTGAGCGAAAGTAGCGATTCACATTGGTTTTGAATCGCTGGAGATTAAATCCATTTGGAAAAACGCTCTTAGGAAGTTTATTCCACATAAACACAGTTCTCCAGATGAAAGAGTTCTTGAGCAGTAAAGTTCGAGGTGTACTGAGTTGAACCTCAAAACGATGAGCTACCACAGTCTGTCGCGTGTTTCTGATATGTACACTTCCCGTGAAAGTATCTATAGAAGAGAAACAAATCTCCAACCTTTCGTCTATGTTCCAGACTATCGAGGTTATAGGTGATGTTCGTGTATCCAATCAGGCGGATGGAGTCCAGCAAATTCAGGTTATGTTTAGAGGCAGAGTTCCATACATGAGAACAATACTTCAAAGAAGGTCTGATCTCAGCTATATAAAGCATCAGAAGTGCTGAGATGTGTTTTCCCTTTCTCAATTTTTGAACTGAACAAATTTCACTTTGAAAAGCTCTTCTAGGGGATCACGTTTGCTTGTTTACCGGTTTGAAAAATTGTCAAATCCTTATGAGTTTTCAACTGATACTGGATTTCAGTAAGATGGGGTACCTCTTCATTACGAAGAGCGTTATTAGAATGACCCACTGCATTACCTGATATGACACCCTTAGATTTTTGTGAGGATTAGTGAAATCTAAAGTTTATGTTACACAACCGCAGTCTACTCCACAGCTAATGGTTAGAATGAGACGTGCTTCTGATGAAATTACTCCAGAAACATTCCATAACGAATTTGTGAACAACTTCATTAATGTCAGGAAGTAAATGGTGACCAGTTTGAATATTTACTGTGAGTTCAAAATAAATTTTTAGCTGGAAATTATGATATTTATCGTTCGTTTGCTGATCCTTAAATCGAATAGAAAACTAGTAAGTACTTAGGAACAGTTTAACCTCAGTTTTTTCGTTCGAAAGTTAGGAGTGGTGTGTTATTTACGTCCGCACTGTATATAGGTATAATCAAGTCTGTTTTGAGGTACTTGGAAAATATTCCGAGATATGTACCATTTTTTCCAGTACCTAATGCATATGTAAACACATGAAACTTTTTTGATACTTGCCCATAATTTTGTAGACTTCATTATTACATTTCTGTAGGCGCTGTAGGTGAACAACACAACATCTTACTCGAATTTTATGCCGCTACTCCACTCATTTGATCTTTTCATTGATTTTTTATGACAGTTCTTCCGATTGTGGACCAGTGACATTTTGTCACCATAACAATTTCAATGTCAACTCACCTGATTGAAGAAACAAAACTGAGCATGGAGGAAACATTTCAGAGATGCTCACATAAAAAATGTTTTTTTTATAAATACTTCACACGATTCGAGCGAATAGATTTCGGAAAAAACGCTCTTTTTTGAAAGTGAACGCATGAAACAGCAATGTAACTCATCTTCTGGCACTCCTCAAAGGAGGAGTGCCAGAAGATGACAGTACTACCAACTGTCGAAAGCGCTCGCAGATTATTGATAGAAGATATAAAGCTTCAAATCCTTTTTCACGAATTCGATTTGTTGCATCCATTGCATTCTCTGTAGACCAGGTTTTTCTAAAAAGTGTTCATTAAAAACTGCTATCAACTGGTTTTTCAGAACTTTTTCAAACTGCAGGAAACTCCTTAAGGTGCTTTCAGAGCGGTGCATGAGCGAAAGTAGCGATTCACATTGGTTTTGAATCGCTGGAGATTAAATCCATTTGGAAAAACGTTCTTAGGAAGTGTATTTCACATAAACACAGTTCTCCAGATGAAAGAGTTCTTGAGCAGTAAAGTTCGAGGTGTACTGAGTTGAACCTCAAAACGATGAGCTACCACAGTTTAACCAATTTCCAAAAATGAAATGTTGGATAGAACACTATTGTACATCCCATCAAAAAGTATTGAGAATGTTACATTCCTAGTAAATTTGGTCCTATCTTGATATTTTTTTTCCTTCGAAAGTTAGGAGTGGTGTGTTATTTACGTCCGCACTGTATATAGGTATAATCAAGTCTGTTTTGAGGTACTTGAGAAATATTCCGGGATATGTAATGTGGCTTTGCAATAACAAAATGGTGTCAGATTTAATTGACTTGATATTTATATCTTCTTGGAATAACTTATCGCCACATTTCGGAAATTCAAGATTGTTTTCTATTTCCTAACCTATAATTCGTCTCTGCAGTACATAAAAGAGAGTTAGCGTGTCGTCACGTTGCCGTTGTCGAGAAACCTTGCACGAAACGACGATTTATACGTATCGTATTATACGATATACAGAAGTCAAGGCCTTTTTAATGCCGATGCTCGCGATTAATTTTTTTTACACGGTCAGCGATAAAGAAACCATACAAAATTTGTGACCATTACTGTTCGATTCTCTGTCAAACAAGGAACACGATTGTGTAACAGACTTTCATTATGATTTTCGAAACCATACTTCAGCAGAAGCCTCATGATTGGTGTTTGCTCAGCGATCAGTTTATAATTGGATGTCTAGTCATTTCAAGAATTCTGATTAGATTGTGATATATTTTTCACATCGCGTCTTACGTTCATAAGGTTTGTCTTTGACTATTTTACGTACAGTTGAGAAAGGAATTTCGGTCAATTCTGATGTTGCCTGTAATAGTTCGTTTCACTCGAAACCAAACATGAGATTTAGATTCTTATGTACATTGAAACATACTCTCTGTGATTCAATATTCAAATGCATCCGAATCTTATTCACTGGTATCTCTTTTTCGCATTGTTCACCATCGCTATTGGAATCACTTCACTGGAAAAAATCTGCGTTGTTATCACACTCGTTATTACTATTAGTACTTGTCCAAGGACACCACATTTCAAACAGATAACAAAAATTTAAAGTAATTATAACTGCACCAATATCGAATTTCAACATTCAAATCGCGATCAGCCCCTGAACTAAACATTGACAACACGACGGCTCGCATTCTATTCGTCACCGTAACATGACTTTGAATTCAATTTTATGACTCTTCAGCCAATCATAAAACTCGGTTAGTAAAAATCATCCAATACGAACCGCCAATTCTTCAGTCCACGTGGACTAGTTGGCAGCGGCTTTATTTCTCTGTATTGGTTTTTTTGGCCTTTGAGAGTGCCAACTACTTTAAGTATGCACAATATCGGTTACTTCAACTGTACAATATAACACAATACTAAAAAATAATTCAATTCAGATAAGATGAAGGTCCGTTCAGGATATGTAAAAACATTATGATAGCCCTAAAACTCAGTTTCAGTCAGCTCCTGATCATGTTAGCTTGGTTGGCAAAACCAACATTGTGACGTAGAAGTTTTTTTATAGATTCATTTTAGGCCAGAGGCCCGAATTCCATCTATCATTTTTTAAAAATTGAATCACAATCTTCTTTATAGAATTTTTTCGTGATATCGACATGGCTGAAACTAATAGTATATGTTTCATTAAACGATAAAAATTAATATTTTTTTTATATTCTAGCCGAACGGAAAGTTATACGAGAGCTTTGGTGTGTTCTGCCCTTGTGATCAGCTCGAAAATTTGGAATTGCTCACCGACGAAGACATTCTCATCGACTGGACTCAACCTCTATATCTCAACTTCACACACGCTAAGATAATGGAAAAACTCGAAGATTTATATTCGACTAAAGGAACAATGTCAAAATTGTATGGGGATATTTACGGCTTGGGGAAACAAGAAACTGAAAAGGAAGAGGAGGGTACCGAGACGTGAGATTCTCATTTTTTTAATTTTGTTATACCTCAATACGGTCGTTCAGTCAAATCCAGTCCAGAATACAAAGGCAAATATTTCAAATCGATAGTATTCACCACTATCAAAATACGCGATTGTAGAAAGCTACTATGACGTCACGAGATATGTGAGGTTGTCAGTACAGTGTCGGAACGCTATACTGACAACCTCACATATAGATAGATAACATTTATTTGTTCAGGATAAAAATACAGTACCCCTGAGAGCAAAGAACATGTCACTATAAATATAAACATATATCACAATAATATTAGGTTGAAAGAGGAAAGGTTGAAAGAGGAAAGGATAGATGTACAGTACATAAACTGCACAAAAATATATGCCATATAGAGTCCATGATTGTAGTAAAAGCAGTCAAATAGATCAAATAATAATAGATTTAAATACTCGTCAGTTGCATAGTATGCTTTTTCAAGTAAAAATGCTTTTAATTTTATTTTTAATGTTGTTTTATCGAATTCCCTCACTCTAAGAGGGAGTTTGTTGTAAATTGTTATTAGAGTATGTGGTACGTCTTTTTGAATAAATGAGAAATTTGGAGTATAACAGGTCAAGTCTGACTCATTTCTTGAAGAGTATATGTGTGTCTTTTTAGAGTTCTCAAAAAGTTTGGTGTTTTCCTTAACAAATAGTATAGTATCAAGAATGTACTGGCTGTATAAGGTTATTATTTTATTTTTTATAAATAAGGGTTTACAACTATCAGTTTGTTTATGGTTAAATATAATTCTAAGGCATCGCTTTTGCATCTTAAATATCTTGGGGACATCTGTCGAAGCACCCCGGAATATTAAACCGTATTTGATCCTTGAGTGAACTTGTGCGTAGTAGACACACATAATAGCGTTTATATCTATTGATCTTGTTAGCACTCTTAGAGCATAGAAGCATTTTGCAATATTTTGTATTATTGAGGTTAGGTGAGATTTCCAGTACAATCTAAGATCAAGCTCAATTCCCAAGAACTTTGTACTTTTGCAAGCTGATATTGTTGATCTACCATCTGAGGCTGAGTATTCACATGCAGTTGATTGTTGGGAAAACTTTATTACTTGTGCTTTGTTTACATTCAACGTTAAGTGATTATGTGTGAACCAATCTTCCAATGTATTCAGTGCTTCAAACACGCTTCTCTCTAATTCGTCATTACTATGTTCCTCGATTACTACACTTGTGTCATCTGCAAACTCCACAGTGTTGAAATCAATAGCATTTGCTAGCTCATTGGTATACAGAATATATAACAACGGCCCTAAGATTGATCCTTGCGGAACTCCTCTCAAGATTGTTAATTCATCTGACTGTACGTTTTCGTTCGTTAGTGAAGCATTCAATGTTTGAGGATTGAATGAAGATATGTTTAGTGTAGGAAGTTTTTATTGAGTCGGGCACAAGTTATCTATGGTTACGAAATACTTCAGTAAGAATGAGGAATGAGCATTTTCATCAAATTCAATGAATGAGAACATTTCTGAAGTCCAATAATTCAAATTTTTATTTTTTGCAGCGATATGCCATTGAACCTGTTATTACTGCAATCTTTTTATTTTCAGCTAATCTCTAAAAAACTGCTTCGTGATAGTTTGGTGCTAAGCCACTTCAACTACTGTGATTTCATATTATGGGTCATACTTGGTGCCGTCTAATTTATGGAATTCGTTTGTATGGTTCCATTTCTGAAGCTACAAAAATCTTCAACTGGCACAATATGAAAATTCGTGTGATTCATCATTTGGGTTGTTTTGTTCATAAATTGATTATTCTTTTCCACTTTCCCCTTTCGATACAGAAACTAATTCTGCGTGAAGACATCCACTCAATAAATATTAGAAATAAAAACAAACTATGTCACGACATCGTATTGTGAAATCCTACAATTCATTGCCTGAGCAATGAAGAGATTCAATACCAGAAAATTCAGATACAAATATAAAAACATTTGTTTACAAAAAGGATTTGAAGCTTTAATAACCTCTACTTAATATATGCGAGCGCTTTCGATAGCAGGATCATCTTCAAGGCTCTACTCAAACTGAACGTTTTATATTCTTGTATGTTCTTTTATACGGTTAGAAGGCGTTAGTTCAGGTATTTATCCTCTCCTGTCATCCGGATGTTTCTTTAAATTTGCCTGCATTTGGGTGACATCAGGTAATATCCTTGATACAGAACAAGGATCAAACCACTCCATCAGACAAAACAACACAATGATGGACTCCATTCACATACATAGGTCAAATTAAAAAATCAACAAATATCTTCAAACCATCGAACATTAACATCACTCACAAGCCGAACACGAAAATAACACAAAAAATAAACAACTACGAAAAGAAGAAGACAGAAACCTAAACGGAGTGTACAGCATAAAATGCTCGGACTGCATCAAATTCTATATCGGCCAAACCAAGAAAAAACTGATCCAAAGGTACGACGAGCACAAAAACCATATATAAACCCAATACCACATAAATCAAACCTCGCAACACACGCCATACAAAACAAATATAACTTTCCCCCATCAGAAAACATCAAACTCATTTCATGTTTTTGAACTTGTTGATTAGACTACAGTGAGTTTCCTACATACTTCTTTTCTTCAGGGTATTCGCAGAGGACGCGGAGATGTTGCAGTTAACTCCCGAGCATGCTCAAATGATTCATGACTTGTACCCGGCCAATAGTATGGAATGCGTCGAGATATTCGAGAAACTCATAAAAAAGCTGCCTTGCTACGGTGTGTTCTCCTCTTCCGGAGATCTGGCTGCTTGGATGGTCCAATCGTATTATGGAGCCATGTTTTCCATGCAAACGCGACCCGAATACAGGAGGAAGGGATATGGACTGATTCTTGCTAAGTACCTGACCAAATTGGTATGTGTTTTGGAAAATATCTAGTTATTCTTTCGAATGTGGGTGAAATATTACTGAAAAGGTCCGGTACTGTTGACAATTCACTGAAACACATGTTTATTGTGTTGAAAATAAACGCAAAATTTTTGAAAACAAAAACCTTATTCATGAAAGGTTTGTTTTGAACTTAATAGTGAATTTCCAAAGGTAGTATACCTATAATGATAGATAAATATATAGGTTTTTTCCGATTTCAACATATATACAAAAAATTGTGATAGCGAAACGTCAGGAATTCAACAGTACCTTTAAACCTGAAATATGGTTTGATCTATTGATTCTCAGCGTTTGCTCTATATGCTTACAATGTGTAAAGGTATAGTGAGGAGATGGCCCCATCTTTCGGGGAAGTCAAGTTTTCCTCAATGTAATTACCACGGTGTACATTTTTCCTGGTAGAATAAAAAGTAATTCGAAAAAAAATCACTCAGTTCGAAAAAGGATTAACTTAGATGTTGACGAAACTATATGTTATATACAGGGTGTATCCGAGTTGATGTAAGGTAATGTTCAGATGTTGTAAAGATATCTACTGTATAGGGCAAAATTGATAGCGATCGAGAGAGTGAGTGAAATGTGGGACATGAATGAGAGCATGATAGTAATAAGCGAGTCTGCCATGACTGTGGAACGTATGAAAGCAGGAAGAACGGGGAGTGAAAGAGTAGCGAGAATACAAAGAACGATTGAGGAGAGGAGTGACAGGGTAGCACGGACTTGCCTAAAATGGAGAGAGGGGCATGAGAAAAACAATCTCGGCAACAGAAAAGCCCACGAGGAGGCTGGTGAAGACACAGAGAAGAAAAACATCACCTGGGTGTTGCCAACTGGATGAACCATAAAATCGTTACACATGAACCAAAATTCCGCTACACTGCTTCATGTTCCGCTACGCTTGTATATCTGATGCAATCAGTTGGCGCATGCGCCCTATCCAAAATTAAATACCATAGAACGTGGAGTTTGTAGTTTGTGTACCGTTCAGGTACCACAAAACTGAACTGTCACTAATGTCAGTAATCAGGAACATGCTAATTTGCAACCGCGCAACTCAGATGGTACCTAATTTTTTAAATTTACAGCAGGTAATTTTTGAAAGCTGTCGTCTCGATCAAATATTTCTTAACTTGAAATAATGATTTTGAAAGGTAAAAATAAAAATCAATTTGTTCACGTACGTATAGTCACACTGAGATCTTAAACGATCATTGGCGACCGGTTTAATCCATCCTTTCAAGTTGGAATCAGACAACCAATGTTGAAAAAAGAGTTTGTTTTCGAGACTCTTTGTATTTTTTTGAACATATCCCATTCCCGTCAATTTCAACTGTGGTAGCTCTTTCACTTGAGTTACAATCAGATGAACTATCATTCATTTTCAGCTATAATATCCCAAGGACATTGATAACTAACGAAATAATTTTATCACAGTTTTCGAAAGCACGTTATTTGGTAACATCCCGACGCCGAAGGCGGGGGGATGTTACCTAAAATAACGTGCTTGAGGAAGTTGTGATAAAATTATGAGTTATTTATCAATGTTCTCTGTAATTTGTTTGATATAATTCATAATACTCGAGACAATCGAGACTTTTAGTTTCAAAATATTGGAGATTATATGGTTTATGATAAGAATGAAAATAAGCAAAAATATTCTTCTTCTCTTTCATCATGTCATGACCTCAGCTACTAAGACTATAACGTATCAGCTATCTTATTAACTGTCAGCTTCGAGTGATGTCCACTGTCTCTACTTAATAATAATAATAATTGTCTTTGTTTCCCAGCTGTATCAGCTATCTTATTAACTGTCAGCTTCGAGTAATGTCCACTGTCTCTACTTAATATTAATAATAATTGTCTTTATTGTTTCCCAGCTGTAGTTACATACAATTATTTAAATTAATTACAGAGCTAGTTGCTGATGTAACAAAAGGCGAAGTTCAACTCACTTAGCACAAGTGCTACTGAGTTGTTCTTACACATTTTTTCAATATTGATTATTTATAGAGAATTCCGCTACTTTATGTTCAAATCCGCTACACCGCTACCGTCGAGTAAATTACGCTACAGTAGCGTAACTCCGCTACGGTTGGCAACTGTGGACCTGGAACGATGAAGAATTGACAGCAAGAATGATGAGAGAAAGAGAATCAAGGAATGCATCATTGAACAATGGCAGAGAGAATGGGAAACGGGAGAGACTGGGCGGCTGTTTTACAGATTCTCTAGAAAAGTTGAGAGATGTATGGACGGAGACAGGACTGGAGGGCGTGAATTCAAGGAACATAAGGAAAAGAAAATGGGGAGATATCACTGAGAGGAGAAAATGGAAGAATCAACGAATGAGTACGATTCGTGAGGAATGAATGAGAAAAGTGGCGCGTAAGCTGTCAGCTTGCTGCTAACTAAAGATATGGAATGAATGTTGAAACAATGGTCTCCCCTGATTGGTGAGACCATTGTTAAATTAAGGAATCCAGCTATGTAAATGTAAATAACGACACTATTGAATTTCGTCTTATTTTTTATTTAACTTCTTCTATCGGAAAATGTATAAGGATTAAGAATGAATTTAAGTTTACTGAGGATATTATTAAAGATATTGTTGAGTCATACTATGTAATTATGAATATATGAGTGAAGGAGGGTCTCGTTCACCCCTTCGTGCAGTCGACGTTAGGCGTAGGCGACATGAAGTGGGGAAGGGCTCATCGGAGGAGTAGAGGTTCCCTTGACAGTGGTGGCGCCAGACAGAGGGAAGATGCTTAGTTGCAAGGCTTTTTAGCCAGGACAACATTAATAATGACACTATTCATGATAGAATGCAAACATACAGACAGCGCTTTTAGATCTTACCCTTTCAAAACAAAAATTAACTATAATGAAGAGTTCAGCTCCGTTCCTGAATAATGTTGACCAATGTATATAATTTTATAGCCGTATATGGTAGTGACATATTGAATTAGTAGTTCAGATATTACTCACGAAAAGGTAGATATTTTTACGTGGTACTGATGATACTCCACAAGTGAGAACTTGATGTTTCGTGCAAAGTAGAGGCTCTTATCCGCTATTACACGACAGTGACCGAAGTGTCCTGGCATCATAAGTTGATGAACTTGATACTAGGAAAACTGATCTTCACGTCACGTGGTAGAGTTGTTCCGTTCTATCCTCAGCGAAGTGAGCTGAACTTAGGCTGTTCGTGATACTATTCTCACCAAGTGGCAAAATCGATGCTCCACTTGGTTGGCATCGTCGTTTATGTGGGCCTTTTGAGCGATTCCGTGAGGAAGAGCAAAGCTACCCTGCTAGTTAGGTTTTCCAAAAATCTACTACCACTGATAGGTATATGGGTTTTGGCACTTTTCTATAGCTTCATTTTTGATCTGTAAATAGTTGATTAGATTGAGTTTCATCAAATACCACCTGACGTTACTTTCTGAATATTTTCTCCGACCGAGCTACCCAAACAAAGGAAACCAACTTTACAAAAATCAACGCCAACTATGTGAAATCTACCTTGTTTCGTTGTTCATGTTTCACTCTGCATTTTGTCATCTTTAAAACATAATTTTATGAGCATATTTCATTATTTTTCAGGTGACAGAACGTGGTTACATTCCATTCGTCGTGATCCGTCCTGAGAATGATGCCTCTATGGGACTCTACGCGAAGTTGGGCTTCAAAAAATACTTCGAAACTGTGCGGGCCATTCTTCGGCCACATGAAATGTCAAGCGATGCCCAGGGAGGAGGGACGGAAGAGGTCGCCCAGTAAATATATATTCCGAATCATCAAATCGAAAGAGATTTAGAATGCGACGCACAGCTGAATCGGCTTCCAGCCACAATTTTACATTTTCCAGTTTGAATCTTCAAGTTCAATAGTGAATGATATTCATCTCGATTCATCGTGAAATATGATATAAAATATTCTGTAAAACATCCTTTTTTCAGCGTTAAAGTATTTTCCGGACGTTTCGTCGGTTTTATTCGATCGGTGGTGGGCATTGGAAAAAATTATCAGGGCTACTATCCAAGATTATATAGAGATGTGACAAAAATCAGAATCGGAGAAAAAACTATAATACTAGAATCCTCTTTGTAGAAGATAAATTTCTAGTACACAGTGGGCTAATGCGGGAGGCGATATACATCCAAAAACATGTGCACAAATTTGAATACAACAAAAAATAAACACCGAAGCTCAACCCAATATGTGATCCAATTATCGCCAGAACAAAAATATCACCGCGTGAGAATAAATTTAATAAAAAAAAGAGTGAATATTACTGGAGTTTTTTCACAACACCAAATCGTTATTTTTAACACCTCGACACATGTTTCGATCACCAAGTGATCATCTTCAAAGAGGAAGATTAAAACTAGAAACTAATGCGGGCTAGCCCTATTTATGCTATATAGGTGTCGCATACAGGTAAACCATCCAGGCGTAACACCCATACAGGTATACCAACCTAAATTAATTTTACAATTTCGCCTTATCTATTATTTTACAATATATGTTTATATAAAAAAATTTTCAGCTATATAAAAATTAATTTCACAATATTGCCTATCCAAATTTATTTTTACTGTGTCCTTATGTAGTAATCAGTAAACCCAACAACATTATTTTAACAAGATATATAGTATGCTCTTTGGTATAGGTCCGTCATCGTTATTCATAATATTATTGTGTTTACTTATTTCTATACTCTCATAGGCATCTAGTTGCCTGTTGTTGTTAACTTGTTGTTAACTTGTTGTTAACTTGTTGTTCCTCTTTGAAGATGATCACTTGGTGATCAAGACACGTGTCGAGACGTTAAAAATAACGATTTGGTGTTGAGAAAAAAACTCCAGTAATATTCATTACTACACCAAAGGTTCCAAACAGTGCATCATAAAAAAAAAGAGTGACTGTTCTTATGTACGCACGTAAGAAGTTATACTTGTTAGGCGTAACAAGATACAAATCTTTCTAAAAATTTCATCCATTACTTTAATCTATGTTTGTAGAAAAAACAACTCTGATAATAAAAAAAAAGTTTTTAATAGACTGAAAGTTTTATTATAACGACTGAAAGTTTTATTATAACGCATTATCTCGTTCAATAAAGTTTATTTAAATATCATAAAAAATTATTTCTACATAGATTCTACGTAGATGTCTTCACTTTTACTCTGTTGGTAACTTTTTTTGAAAATCTACGTGGATGTCGTGGTCGGAGTGGGGTCCAAAAGTGGGGTGTTTTTCAAAAAATGAAGTCAAGTTCGAATAAATATTGAAGTGAAAGACATTTTGAAAGGAATGGCGGATCCCTATGCCAGTAACCAGGCTGGTCGTCAGTGCGATAATAGATGTGTTATTTCTGAAAGCCATATTGAGAGGGCTGGTGCCCCCCCCTACGTCAGTAACCAGGCTGAGTGTCGACGGATTTGACGAGGTCGTCAGTTCTATAATAGATGTGGTGATTATATGGAAGACATCCCAAGAAGGTGGCACCCAGTAAAGAAATGAAGTGTTTTTATGAAAGAAAAAGTGAATAAGAAAACTTTGGGCGCCAGCAAGACAGCTGCGCCTCCTGGCGAAGCTTCTGTTCACTATGGACAGGAGGAGCTAAATGCGCTCAACTGAGAAGCAACTGGCATATACATTAAAGAAGAAGAAGAAGAAGCTAACTTCAGGGTGTCGGTGTTTCGTGACGGTGCGCGCGAGTATTGTAAAAATTTACTCTCATCGTATTTTCCTAACGCGCCAAAAGAAGTATAACTTAAAAAAAGAAACACTGGAGCTGAACCCAATGTAGAATCCAATCATCGCCAGATCACTCAACACAATGTGGAAACTAATCATCGCCCGAATGGAGATAGCAATACACTGATCCCCAGATTCCTCTACAAAGAACCTCTAAAAGGAGCTAACCATGCGTGATGGCGAAATATCGAAAAGAAATTCCACAGTACAATGACCCTCAAACCTGAAAGATTGTTCGACCTATCCATTCTCAGCGTTTTTGGGATCTGGGTTCTTCTAATTTTCTTTCCCGCTTCGGAAACGACGTTTATCATTGATATTGGTGGTGTTTTCCTGAGGGATACTGTTTTCATGCTTACTCACATGTCCTCAAGGATAGTTGGGTCCAATGATGTATTCAGGCCTTACCTCAATATCAATGATGATACCTTTACTGGTTTTCATTTTCAGTGCCCAGTTCCATGTTGAAGTGGCCATTTTGACAGATAACTTTTATATCATATTTACACGATTTCATGATATTATAGGATTGCCTATGAAATCATACACCCAACGATATGTAATCAGAAAAGAACAGAGTGAATCGCTAAAAGACCAATCTAAGAAATATCATTCAACTCTCGTGACGAAAACTCAAGCATATTACGCTCTTCCTTTTGTTCTGGAAAGAATACGCTCAAAAGATTCACACTGTACTTACAATGATATTTTCATCATTTGGCATAAGTCATAAAAACAATGAATGAGAAAAAATAGATGTAAATCAACCAATGCTGTGGAAACCGTTTTTTATTGTAGAAGTATTTTGAAGAAATAGAGCTTGATCCCAGAAGAGATTGATAATAGAAGTTTTCTGTGTGTGTTGACTGATATGATAACATTTCTCATTGAGAAAATTGAAGATATCGAAAAAATTTCGTTTCGAACCTCCAGTATCAAAATAGAAAATAACTAATACTTATCGAAATTACGGCTCGTAACAAATGCTCTCACAGAAAAGTTTTATTAGTTGAAGTGCTCTTAATGGCTACTCTTCTGAGACTCTTTCACACGTTCTATCATGATGAGGAACGCATGAAGGAAAGCCAAAAAAATTATTATAATGTTGAACTGAGCATAACTGAAACGAATTCAATACAGTACGGACGTGAATAATTCCTTCATTCCAAAGTTTTGAACAGGACAACAAGACATCAAATTGAAGAAACTTATGTAAAAAGGTATCATTCTTAGCACTTTAGCATAAAAAGACAATGGTGTTTGTATTACCCATCGCCGAGAGTGTGCTATAATGTTCCCTTTCAAAAAGAAATGAGGGTCTTGATTAATACGTATTTCAGTTATCTAATGCTTATTTTTGAGAATAAAACCAACTGTTCCTGAGTAATAAGCAGTTTAATATTCGTTTTCAAAACCTGAAAACAAAAAAAATATATTCGGAACTAATTTCAGTTCATTACAATACTTATTCAAAATGTTTATCATTCACTTCCTGATAATAATGAAGTCGAAATGGCTTGGGATTGCGATCGTATATTTTCGATGTCATCAACACTATTGTCAAAAACTACTAAAAATTAAACCTTTCAGGTCATAACATCTTGCCTCGTGCGGGACCATTTACGTCTGCACTGTATTGGATTATCTTTTGTGGATTTCTCTTCAGATTGGAATACATGTTAACGAGTTTGCTGAGTACATTGATCAAATCTGAGAAAAACGTAGATTTTCCAGTATTCGCACCCCATTCATATCTGAAATCTATGAGGAAATTATCTGCTTGAAATTGCTTGAAATGAGTTAACGTTGAATTTAATAATCATAAGAAAAGTTTTACAAAATAGACATTACCTATTAATAGAATTTTGGGAACTTTTGATATAAGGTAGATATATAGATATAGTGTTTCCCAGTAATTTTATGACTGTGATAGAATAATATGACATTGCTTCTTTGAAAGTGAGATAGTATCATTTGATGAAATTCAAGAATACGTGGTGGAGGCGAAATGTTGCCAATTATGTCTTTTTGTCGCAATGTAGCCATCATCTTGTTTTTATGAGAAATTCTTCTAATTGATTCACCTTCCTGAAGATGATCAACAAAACGATATTGATGAAAGCAAATAAACATGGTAGGGAATGGTTTATCCTTAGCTATTTGATTTATCAGATGTCATCATACATTAATGAAACAACACAAATTCATCATAAAAAATACACACACACACGAATGAGGAAAGATTTTTTTAACAAAAAATGAAACTTGTTGGAGAATAAATTAATAGAAATTACATATATACATTCGTTATTCAGATATTATTTGGTCAAAACAATGGGAGAATGATAAATGGAAATAATCAATATAGTAATTTCCATAACAATTATTAAGTATCAATGTTGAACGGTCAAATCTGTTTGATGAAAGGTAAGCTTGTAGAGGGGTGTTCGTATCTTTCGAAAGAGTCCAAAAGTTCCATCAATATTTGACTCGGATCAACTGTTGAGAGATGTTTTATTTGGAAGCAAAAGCAGAGTTGAACATATTCTGTGAGGTGAAGAATAGATCAAAGTTAAATTGAAGCATGAACGAACCCATATCATCAGATGAGTGGTCCTATAATCTGTTGGATCCGAAGAAGGATCATTTGAGTATGTCCCAGATCCTTTGATATTTAGTTGTGTAGATTGGACAAGTTAGGGACAATCTCTTCACAAAGATTCATTTCAAATTCTATCAATGAAAGTACTAAGTGTTGAGTAACAAACAGGGTATTATCTCAATCAGGGTTTGAAACTGTTTTATTTGTGAATAGAGAATCTCACAGAGGAAAAGATTTTCATAAAAATATTCACATTCACGATCTTTGAAAGATTTAGTCGAGAAAGTGTTATTTTAATGTGTGACGATACCTTTTCGAAGCAAACATTTTTTTAGTGAGCTTATGTATACATCCGATATTGAAGATATGGATGAACAGAGACAAGCATTCAATATTTGTCAAACAAAATATATTCAGGTTTTTTTGGGGGTTTCTGATACTGACATGATTATAAGGCTGATAGTGATGATACTAGTAGTTCAGAAAATGATTAGACTTAGAGACAATGAAAAATATTCCATTCGGAATATTTGTATCTACATTGTATCCAGATTGGTTCAAAGTGTTGGACTACTGAACACGTTTGATTTGAGATGTTGATATGTGATTGTATTGAGAGCAACTCTTTCACCACACCACGTATTCCAGTATAATTTCTATTTTGTAAAATTCACGAAATTGTTGATTCTTAACTTGACCTACTTTTTTGTGTTACTGTATGGTATTTGCAGGAAATCGACAGGTAATAAGGGGATGCTGATCAAGGAGAAATAACTTCAGATTTCGAAGAGGCTGATGAGGATACAGAACGTCGTAATATATGTAGAATGCATATGAGTTGTGGAAATTCATTTATATTGATTTTTCTATTACGTATTATACATTTGAGATATTTGTATTATAACATATATTTCAGAGAAGCTAGTTTTCATCAAACCTTAGTGCTTTGGTGCATGAAAATAAATGAGTAGTGCCTTCTGCAGCGGTGAAAATTCAATTATTATTATACACTCTTGAAAACTGCGAAGTAGGAAAACGAACCACGACATATCTGAAAATTAAAATAGTTATAAGTTGAAAACAAATTGAATATTTGAGAATAAGTATGGCATTTCTGTAGAACGTGGAGACATACAATTGAACATAAAGGCAATTTGAGAAACGATAAAGTTGAACCAGACACAATGCTTCTTGTCTCTTACATTGACATCTAGAATATCGGTTCACTCCAGATACTTTTATTTGACTAAACACAAGCACAACAGGAAAATCCTTAAGGCGCTCTAAGAGCGGTGCCTGTACGAAAGTAGCGATTCACATCGGATTTGAATCGCTTGAGATCGAATCCATTTGGAAAAACGTTCTGAGGAAGTTTATTCCACATAAACGCAGTTCTCCAAATGAAAGAGTTCTTAAACAATGAAGTTCGAGGTATACTGAGTTGAACCTCAAAACGATAAGCAGCCACAGTCTGTCGCGTATTTCTGATATGTACCGCTCTTGGTGGAATCAAAAGTTCTCATGAAAGCATTTATAGAAGAAAGACAAATCCAAATCTTTCTTCGATGTTCCAGACTATCAAGGTTGCAAGTAATATTCGCGTCTCCAATCAGGCGGATTGCTTTTCATGGATGGAATCCAACAGCTTCAGGGTATGCTTAGGGGCGGAGCTTCATACATGAGAACAATACATCAAAGAAGGTCTGATCTGAGCTTTATAAAGCATTAAAAGTTGCTGAAGTGTGTACAGTTTTCTGGTTAGGAACAGTGTTGCAAACTTTTGAGAAGCAGCTTTTGCAATTCCAGTGACATTATTGTGCCAAGACATATTGGTGTCCATTTTAACTCCCAACAAACTTATCGAAGCAGGAAGTGGAACTGCCTGTCCTGACATCATTATATCCGGTCCGGAGACATTTATCTTTTTGGAGAAAACTAATGCCTGGGTTCTTATGGCATTGAATTGAACCTGGTTAGTTTCACCCCAATTCGAAATCACTTCTAGATCCTCATTAAAATTTGCCTGCTGCCGGTAAAGATGTGCATCCGCAGCCGATATCCTGGAATCTAAATGGAATGACGATACAAGTGTGCTGCTGTCAGCAAAGCAATACAGGGTGTTACTGAATAAACTGTAAAACATTTGAGGAGGTGATTCCTCATAGAAAAAAAGATAGGATCTCTCATATAAAGAAACTTCATTGGAGCATCCCTTGTTAATATAAAGGTAGTACATAAAATTTGTATAACAATTTTTTTCACAAGCCCTGAAGAAGTTACAATATTGAAATTAACCGGACGTTTTGTACTACCAAAAAGACACTTAGCTAGTAACTTACTTGGTTTACCCCATGGTTATAAGGAGTGGAAAACGCAACCCCTAAACTTTATTTCAAATGTAACTTTTTGTCTTATTATTTGTTTACCATTTAAACACTTATTTCCGATAGCCTGTTTCATTCTAAACAAAAAATCTCTGTTGGGTTTTTGGCCAAAATAAACCAGTTTGCAGCAAAAAATTATTTTACGAACAACTACAGAGATATATCGTCATAAATGCGAACTGGATTTATTGTTATTTTGTAGTTAGTACCTGCATTAAACGATCAAAGGGTAATAAACAAAATAATTTATTAATAACAAAACACACAACATGTAGAAATCATAGTAAATGTTCAATGCGTAATGTCTGCCTTCAGACATTACGCATGCGTCTAGACGTCGGCGCATTGAGCCACGTATTCGCTCAAGTATTCCTGGAGTCTCTCTGCATATGCTCTGCACGCATCGATGATGCGGTTTCTTAAGTCCTCTACATGGCGAACAGGAGTACGATAAACCAAATGCTGTAAATAGCCCCAAATAGAAAAATCGAAAGGATTGAGATCCGGGGATCGAGCGGGCCAGTTCTATGGTCCTCCTCGACCTATCCACTGATTTGCATATGTTTCAGTTAAATGCTGACGTGCTGCTTGACTAGAATGGGCGGAGCCCATATCCCTTCTGACGTCCAAAGGAACCTCCTCCAGCATGGATGCACTTCTCTCAAAAATTGAAAGTATGCCTCACCATTTGATCGAGGAGGTAGAAAATGAGGCCCAATTAAATCATCTCCAATAACTCCGAGCCACACGTTGAGAGAAAACTGTTCTTGAAGGTTAGTTTCAACAATAGCGTGAGGATTTTCATCAGCCCATATGTGGTAATTATGAAAATTAATAATCTTGTCCTGAGAAAAACTACATTCGTCTGTGAATTCTATCGTCTCCAGAAAGTCACAATTTCTTCTAATCATTTCCATCATCCAATTGCAAAATTCAAGATGGTTTGGTGATAGTGCCTGTACTCGTTGCAGATGGTAAGGGTATAAAAGTTGTCCCTTTACAATTCGAAATATCGTCATATGATCAACATTCAGCTGGAAAGCAATCTTTCTAGTACTGGTAGTAGGTTGTTCTTCAATCAAATTAAGTACTGCTTCCTCAAGCTGTGCTGTTCGTACTTCTTGATGGCGACCACAATCCTGTGTTCTTTTGTCGACTGAACCATAATCTCGTAATCGTTGATGAAGTCGAGCAAATATTCTATGTGAAGGATGCTGCCGTTGACGATACATTTCAGCATATCTTCTAGAAGCGTCTAACCCATTTCCCTGAGACAGACCGTAAACGTAATGTATATCAGCCATTTACTCATTTGTGTATGCCATTTTAATAACAAGTGAATAAATTAAGAACAGAACAACAACACAGAATTAGTATTGATTCAATTTCGAAAATTCACAAACTGACAGCGTCATACCAATTGAATTGTGACTATCTCTAATAGAGACCTACTAGATAGATTAGTTTCGTATTTTCGCATTTATGATGATGTATCTCCTAAAATAATTTTTTGCTGCGAACTGGTTTATTTTGGGCAAAAAACCCAGGAGAAATTTTTTATTCAAAATGAAACAGTCTATCGGAAATGAATTTTTAAATGGTAAACAAAGAATAAGACAAAAAGTTACATTGGAAATAAATTTTAGGGGTTGCGTTTTCCACCCCTTACAACCATGGGGTAAAAGAAATACATTTCTGGCGTCAGATTAATTCCAATATTGTATCTTCTTTAGTGATTGTGGAAAAAATTGTTATACAAATTTTATGTAACCCCTTCAAGGTGCTGTATCTCATCTCCAATGAAAATTCTTCATATGAAAGATCCTATATTTTTTTCGATGAGGAATCACCTCCTTTAATGTTTTAGACTTATTTAGTTACATCCTGTATATTGGATTCTTCGTTTTTTCCGATAAGTCGTTGATATACATGCAAAAAAGGGACAATATGGAGACAATATGGATTTCTGGGAAATACCAGTGTTGATGGTAAAATTATTCGGAGGATATCTATTGACGGCCACTTGCAGGGAATATGACTGTGAGTGAAGGTGGATTTCTTTCTGCGATGAGATGGACATTTTCATTGTTGATCGTGGTAAAATAGTCATGGCGTCGTATTTCCGTAGATTGTTCAGGGTTTCTGATATGTCAAGACAAAATCGAAGTCGGAATTTCTGATATTCAACTATCTATAATGTTAATTTCATATTTAAATTCCATTGAGTCACTGTCCAATGTTTAAAAAAAACAGAATATCAGATCTTATTTTGAAATATGGAGTCGCTTTGAAATATAATGATGTGGATACAAAAAATTCATATCAAAAAGAGGAAGCGAAGTCAATACAATGTAAGTTATCACAAAAACTATAAAAAAACTAAGGAAATCCGCACAGAAACGTCGAAGATTCCAAAGCGCCCCAAACCGCCCAAGACCAACACAACACAATAAAAAACTCAATACTGATGAGAACATGTTACCCACGGACAAAGGAAATGCCAGAAAATTGTTGCCCTACTTCATTCAGGGACATATAAAAGATTCAGTCGGGATTAGCCCTCCGGGATTTGGAGGAAAACGAATCTTCTTATCCGTTCATTAAGTCTTTGTTAGAACACGACGAAGGTCCTACTAAAATCCGAAACCTTGCCGCCTCGTTTATATGGCTAATCCAAAATCCATGAATAGAATGATGTGCCCCTCAGACCTATCGTGAATGCCATAGGTTCACCAACTCATGAGCTGACTAAATATTTGACAACCCTACCGCAGCCGCTCATAGAAAAAACAGAGTCATTCATTGAAGACTTGGGACACTTTATAGAGAAAATTAGTGATATAAAGTTAGATCCTGAAGACATACTTGTGAGCTTCGACGTAGTCTCCTTGTACAAGATGATTCTAATCGAGGACACGATACGGCTAATTAGTGAAGTATCTATTCCCAGCAGATATAACCGCCCTCTTTGCTAATTGTTTATCATCAACTTATTTCCAGTGGAATGGTGTTTTATACGAACAAATGGATGGTACAGCAATGTGCAGTCTATCAAGTCCGGCGGTGGTGAACTTTTTCATGAAAAAATTCGAACAACGGGCCTCAGAAAAAGGGGTCGTAAATATTCAGGCCAACAGAAACTATCAGAAAAAGCTTAACTTCAGCTGAGGACCCCATGGAGCTTTTAATAACACTCGGGGAATACTGGATTCCTTATAGCTCCGGGTCGATCAATATTGGAACCACGAAAAAAGTTTACGTACCCGTCTCTCTGAACACAAGGGAAATTGTCAACTCAGATAAATCGACCAACAAACTGTAATAGCCAAACATGATCTCAAAGAAGGCACTCATATCATTACTCAAAAATACAGTAATACTCCATAAAACTCAAAATTACTATTCAAGAATATATGGAGGCAATAGAAATTCAGAAACACTGGGATACTTCCAATCAAATGGAAGAGGCAATGAACATCAATAGAATCTGGCTACCTGTTCTCAATTGCGAACAATTGAAGTTAGGTAATTCAATTAGGAGTAACGAAGCCACGCCCACCTATGATAATATCAAACCGGAGAAAAATTCCGGAATTGTTGTTTTTGCGTTGAGAACCACTCGAGCACTTCGACCGTTACCTCATCGCCTCTGATAATGTGTACCGCAATAGTGAACGAAACGTTTGGCATAAAAATCTATAGACCTCGACCGAAAAACTCGTAACATATCATTGACACAAAAGCTATAGTGCTCTAGGTAAGAACTTACTGCGACCAGCGTAGCCAATGTTAGTGGACTAAATTTCCCAATAGATAAGTAAACAGGGCGTTGCATGCGTATGAAAGTTAGTATCATAGCTTGCTTGAAACGGGGACTGCAGCTGAACCAATCACTTTCGAACAAGGAAGTTCGTATCATTTCACTCTGAAAAATAAAATTAATTCAAGTCGTACTGAATTAGATCTATACTCACAGCCCTTGTTATTTCATTTCCGAACCAGCACACCAAAGATAGTTGTATGATAATGCATAAGGAAAATTCCATCAGTGCAATCATTTCAGGAGATCCAAATGGGACCTGAAATTAGTCTATATTGTTTAGGTTGTAGAACTGAGAAAATTGAATGATTACTTATATTCCTTAAGACAAATTGGTTAAGATATCGAGATCATGACATTAGGAACTCTCCTCAGTAAACAACTCAAAACGTGGTGATGTACTCACAGGTTTCAAAATTATAGAAACAAAAGTCAGGCAAATAGTCGAGTGAATTACTACAACATATTATTATTTAATTAAGTCCCTTGATACCAGTTAGAGAGTTGTGATTTGAGGATGAGAAAAAGAAATGTGTGTTGATGAAATGCCCAATTTATATATTTCATCTACAGTATCTTGTTTTTTTTATTTTTTTTATTTATTGATTACAAGTACACCATGGTGTCTGGACAAGTCATAAAAAATACACATATATGACATATATAAATTGTAAATTATAAATTATTTACAACGTAAAATTACAACATAATTACTAAAACATGACATATGAAACAAAATTTAAAAGTGAAACATAAACATATTAAGGTCCATATAGATTATTAACAAGTCTGTAAGTCATATTTATAAATAAGACACAACCAAATTTAACCAAAAGAATGAAAAAAATAACAGGAATTGTAATTCAAATTAACTTAGGACAATTCGAAATCATTTACTTCGTAGTAGGCTTTCCTCAACAGAATACCCTTTAGTTTCTTTTTAAATATTTCCAGGTGTGTATCTTTCAAGTCAATAGTTAATTTATTAAACAGTCTCATTCCTAGATAATTGCGACTAGTACTTGCTAATTCATGTTGTGGAATCAGCAAGTTGTCTCTATTTTTTGTATTATCATTATGATTATCACTAAGTTTCTGATAGTTCCTGATATTTTACGGCTTACAACTTTCCAATCTGTTTAAACCTACAATTGCTCTAATTGATCTTTTTTTGGAGTAAAAAAATAGGCTGTAAGTAGATAGAGTGTCCCCAATTTAATAATCCATATGTCATAACATTATGAAATAGTGAATGGTATGTCATGATAGCCGCTTCCCTACCTAAATTAATTTCAACTTGTCTAATAGCATAAATGGCCTCAGATAACATACTCGAAAGATTGTCTGTGTGAGTTTTCCACGACAAGTTGCTATTCAAGTGATTTCCTTGGTTCAAGAATATCATAGAAGCTGTTTTCGCTTTATTGATTTGTAATTTATTTGCGTTGAACCAATCATTAGCTGACTCAGTTATGTCCTGGATAACGGTGGTTTCCTCTCCTTGTCTTACCCTCGTATAAAATGTTGTGTCGTCGGCATATAAGATAGTCTTCATATTAATTGTTATTGGGGATTGTTTACTGAATTTATTGTCATGGTACACAGATTGTGTTCGATTGGTCACATAAGATCGCATCAAATCAAGAGATATACCTCTGAGACCATAGTATTCCAGCTTTTCGAGTAAAATATATTTTGAGACAATCGAAAGCTTTACTCAGATCAACAAATACTGTCAAGGTTGATACTTTGTCTTCGAATCCCTCTCCTATGAAATTAGCTAGCTCAAAAACTGCCCCGGCAGTAATTTTTCGCTTTCTAAATCTAAACTGCGAACTCGTGAATAAGTTATTTTGTTGAAAAAATTAGGCTATTCGTATTGCAATTATTTTTCCAGCAATTTTACCCAAAATGGGGACCAATGCAATTGGTCTGCAGTTTGATATCGATGTTGTATCCCCTGATTTGAATGTTGGTATCACTTTTGCGATTTTTAGTTTATCCGGAAATATTCCAGTTGTTAATATATTATTTATTATCTGAGTTATTGGTTTTAGTAATGCATCTAGGTTTTCTTTATACATACACACTAAGTGGTTGTAGATGTCAGTTGAATTGGAATTCTTGAATGATTTTATTATATCAGTTATTTCTTCTTCTGTTGGAGGATAGATGAAAATAAAATTTCCATTTACGGTAGTAGGGGATTTACCCAGATGTGTCGAGAAATGAGCTGTCGAAGGTGGAATTTCATTGATTGTTTCATTTACAATATTCACAAAGTAATTGTTAAATTCTTCGACAGATATCGTCGTAGTTGTTTTTTTTTTAGGTTTCCTTCCTGTATTGGTGTTGATGTGCTCCCAGATAGTTTTTGGTCTATTAGACGACTCGCGAATATTATTCAGCGCCACTTGCTTTTTCCTATTAATAAGTAGTTGTTCATACTCGTATTTCTTTAATTTGAATTGTTCTTTCCAATTTGGTACCTTTTATTTGGTAATTTCAACTCTATTAAATAGTTTAAGTTGTTAATTTCTGTCTAGGCTTTTATAATGCTAACATCGACTATAGCTTCTTTATTTCTCCGGTAATTATCACCCTTCACCTTGATTAACGGAAAGCTCATTTTGTGTTAATATTGAAAAATATTCAGAAATGTTTCAGTGCACTCATTGGAATCTGTTATTTCATCTAAAGCAACCCAATTTGCTGCAGAAAGGAAATTTTTAAATAATTGCTTATTTTCATTGTTTTTGTTGAAAACTAATTTACTAGTGATACTCGCCCTTCCCAAAATATTTGTGAATTTGAATTTGTTTATTGTTAGCTTGAGTACCTAATACTCACAATATATCCGACGTACAAGCAGGATGATATGATGAATAAGGAAGCGATTGCTTGAATTAATATAACATATGTGAACATGTATTCCAAGTCTTCCCTAATCCTGAAAAATATAAAAGTAGTTCATATTGAATATTTTCAAAAGTATATGTATTCATGAATTGTACTGTGAAAGTTTCGAACAAGTTAATCATTCATTGAAAATAACAATGTCTCATATAACCTTGTTTGGAACATTTTCCATTTAGGTATTATTACGAGTACACCAATACTATATCCAGAGCTTGATACAAGAGAATAAAAAGTTGTATTTTCAGTTCCTTGATCTTATAAACTACTAGAAAACAAAGTAGTAGCATACCTTTTTTCTCAATATTATTGGCTGCTCATTGAAACGCAACTTGACCTGATAATTTCAATATAGTTAGGGTTATACAGTGTGTAAAAGCCAAATGAAATAGATCCACTATTTCGGTTATGGTACATATTTAAACAAAATCCCGAGACACGTCGAATTTAAATTATAATTTGACATACTTCAACGGAAAAATGCTACCCCTACCTTTAACCCCCGTCGAATGATGGGGAAATATAGGCTTATCGTTTAAAAGGTCTCTTTATTCTCTGTTCAAAATTGTTATCGCTTTCAAGTTTATTGCAATAATCAAGATAAAATAAATTGAAATCATGTGGTTACCGAAATTCGATGGAATACACTTATAACCTATTTCAATATACTGAAAACTTATTTCATGTTGAGTAAGAAAGTAAGCAAAAACCATATCAATGTTCTTTTCAGATGGTATCCTTTAAAAAACTGTAAATAATTTCCGTGGCAACGTTAGTTTGAAACGGCTTGTCAATTTGTATTCTATGTTACAAAAATAGTTGTCAGTATTTTAATTCAAGTTTAAAGTTGGTTAACAAATTTCCAAATTTACCACCCATATCTCATGGAACAATAAGCAAAATATGTGGCTAGGGAGGCGAGGATCGATTAAGGATCTTTAATTATTAGATTTATTTTTATGTGGATATGTGAAGAGCAATGTGTACAAAACTTAAACTTAAGATTTGAATGACTTAAAAGAACGAAAAACGCTTGCGATTAGGTCGGTTACGCCTGTTATGCTAAATAATGTTAGAAGACAGTTTTATTTGAGATAATGATGTTGCCAAGATGTTTGGGTTACTTCGTTAAAATCCATAGTTTTTTTTTTTCGTATTCTACATTTCATTACGTTTTGCATTACATTTTAGTTTTGGAGTGTATTTTATCGAATTTCGGTAACCACATGATTTTAATTTATTTTATCTTAATTGTTGCAATAAACTTGAAAGCGATAACATTTTTGAATAGAGAATGAAGATACCTTTCAAACGATATATCACAAACCTATACTTCACATTTTAAAAATTGGTAGTTGTACCTGTCATTCTAAGGGGGTTAAAGGTAGGGGTAGCATTTTTACGATATAGAATGTCAAATTATGATTGACAATTGACGTGTTTCGGATTTTTTTTCAAATATGTTCAGTAACCGAAATAATGAATTTATTCTATTTGGCTTTTACACACTGTATAAGCGCAATGTTGTGTTATGACGTTTTTGGAAATTGGTATCTTTCAAACCCCGATTAGCATTGAGTTTCAGTGGTTCATATTTTCCTTGTGTTCTTATTGACTATCTAAAAATTCTAGATTCTCTCTCCCAGCTTGCCTCAGTGAAACTGTTCGCGATACAATATTCAAGAAGAGCAAGTTGAATCAGCTTTATTTTTTGAATTCTTGCTTTTACAAAACCATGATTTGGGCGGCACATACATCATGTGTTGTAAAAACGTCCCATTCTCCATAAATAATGAAATATCTTCCTGCATGAAATTTAACCGTGCAGGCATTGTGACAGCGAATGGTAATTACCTGGTACAATTGGACTTCACAAAACTCACATGATTTTCATTCCACTTCATTCAAAAGTAAAAAAAAGGATAATTTTTGAATATCAATATTCAATTGTCTTTTTGGACACTCTGTAAAAAAAATTGACAAATTTGAACCATTAATTTTCCGGAAGTCCCAACACGAATGAAATATAATAGAAATGAGATATACACTCTCGAACAAAAATATTGCATATTTTATTTCAAGATTTTTTCATGTTAATTTCTTTTTCCTCAACACAACACTTTTTTATTGATATTTATTCAAAGGCCAAAGTATTTTACGTAAATTTCCATTCAGTATAGATAAAAGAATGCTTGGACTTGTCGCTATAGCTGAATAAGTGAAATAATGGTACAAATTACAAACTTTGAATAGTGTGCCTTTGCCAGTATTAATGTCTTTTGTTTTGTTTATTGTTGTCAGAATGACATTTCGAGTTATGTCTTGATTCTGTAGTTTTATCAGTGAGATGACGCATATGAGCGAATTTGTTGGTGTCAAAATTGTTACTTTAGGCAATGAAGGATGCAAACAAGAAGATATTGGGCGAAGATTGCATATCCATTAATTGACTGTTTCTCGCATTGTGAAACGATACAATGAGACTGGAAAGTATAAAAAGCGGCCTGGCCAAGGACGCAAGAGATGTATCTACAACGCCAAGAGATGACCAATATTTGAAAATTCAATCTTTGCGAAATCGCACGCATACAGCTCCTCATCTCAGAAATGATTTACTGAGCACAAGATAAGTTAACATAAGTGTCAAAATAGTAATAAGAAGACTCAAAGAAGTTGGTTTGAATCCACAACGCCCTGCCGGAGTTCGTAGGCTTCTCCCACGTCACAAATCTAGACGGTTACAATTTGCCATAGCTCATGTCAACTGGAATGAACATCAGTGGGGAAAAATTCTTTTCACAGATGAAACAAAAATACAGTTATGGAAACCAGATGGACGTGGTCTAGTTTACAGAAGATCTGGAAAACGTTTCGCAGAACGTAATTTTGTACATAACGTTAGCTTTGGTGGTGGTTCCATTATGTTGTGGGGTATCATTAGTTGGGACAGTCGCACCGAGCGTATAGAGGTGAATTTAAGAATGAATGCTGACTGGTACATACGCAACATCCTTGAAGAGCATGTTTGTCTTACAACAGCTTCATTGGTTACGACAAGAAAAGTCACCCAGTATCTTGAAGTTGTTGGACTTGAGGCAGTGGAGTGGCCACCAAACAGTCCCGACGCAAATCCAATGGAACATATTTGAGACATCCTAAAAAGACATAGAAGAGTACGAAATCCAGCTCCTAACTTAATAGCAGATTTAAGAATTGCTGCACAGGAAGAACGGAATCGAATTCCACAAGAAACCATCAATCTCTTTTACGGAGTATGCCCAGGAAGTATGTTGTCTCAAAGAACTTTCATTTTGTTGTCATTGTTGCTGGTTCTGATTAAATATTATTACCAAAACTAGTTCATTTCATTAGTGCTTCTACAAGTGTGTTATAAAGTTTTAATATCTGGATTATTTATCAATCAATATACGTTAAATACTTCAGCGTATACCATGTAGTGATGAAAACTGCATAAAAATTCAGAGAAATAGAAATAAACATGAAATCAAGGCTTAAAATGAAATATGCAATATTTTTGCCTGTGACTGTATATTCGAGCGAAGAATGTTCAGCAAATGCAATTTTTAATATCACATATTATGCAAGATGTATAAACTTGTGTGATCATCTGTAACGGAATATAAAATGCTCCGTTTTAAATGAAAAAGTTCGAGCCTCCTTTGAGTAGGTATAATCGGAAATGTTCTGAGCACAAAACTATTTTAAGAATTGTAGGTACTCAACATTCCCAGACTACCAAATTTTCATAATTGTCCCACTTACATACATTTTGCAAAATCTATCGATACATTTCTTAAAGAGCCATCCTGTATAACTGCGTAGCGTTTCAGTGATCTATTTCAATTCCATTACGAATGTTTCGTTTACCATAGAGGAAGAAGAAGTGATCAAGAAATCCAGTTCGAATTCAAAAAATACTTCTGTGTAATTATTCTTGATATGAGATTTCACTATCATTTTTATGTTTTCCTTTCTCTGGGATTTTCACACAGTAAATATTTGTATCATTGGAGAAGTAGAAACTCTAATTGTTCTCTCTTGAAAACATTTTCTTTTCTAAATATATTTCAACATATTTACCTCAATAAAATTTTCAGGTGTTCTGTGGCATGCGTCAGCAATCTGTATAATTCTCTTTCTAATACAGGATTATCCGTGTCATGCATAATGACGTAGTCCTTCGGAAGGCCGATGTTTTTCAAACATCGCACACGAAGAGTCTTGAAAACTTCACAAACTATGAGTAACTGCGTTTTCAAATAATTCAGCAAACCTGAGAATAGTGTGTCGTGAACTGAAAGATCAAAAAAATAACAAAATGGAGGATACGAGTATATGGTTTTGCTTGTGTATGTTAGTATGTTGGTAATACATAGTATTGACTTATTTTTATTCGTCTTTTTAGGCAAGAAAGTTACTTATATCCTAATCAACCGCAACATGTGTTTCGACTAAAATTACTGATCAATGTCTGTTGATTTGCTAGAAAGAAGAAATACATGATTTCCTGATCGACTCGGCCGTTACTTGATGAAGATCTATATTAATTCCACAAATTACACCGACAACGATTTGATCTTCACAAACTTTATTCCTAAAAATATCACGACATGTTTCGCTATCACAGTGGCTCTTTCGTAGTGAATAACATACTCTTAAGAGCAGATAGTTGTTGGTTCACAGATGGATCAAAAACACCTTCCGGTTCTGGTGCAGGTGTTTTCAGTCGCAGACACAGGACAGAGATATCAACCTGCATAGGAACCTATGCGACTGTATGTCAAGCGGAAATTTACGCTATTGAATTGTATGCGGAGAGATTGGAAGAATCCAACCTCATACACAAGTCAATAAAAATATTCTCGGAGAGTCAAGCGGCGTTGGAAGCTCTTGGCTCCTACCGAGCAACGTCTAAATTGGTAGCAAATCGCCAAAAACGACTCTCCTTGATAGGGAGACTCAACATATTGTCTCTGATCTGGATTCCTGGCCATATTGGCCTGGAAGGCAATGAGGCTGCTGGCTCCCTTGCAAAGGAGGGTTCTGCAAGCAGCTTTATCAAACCAGAACCTGTCATTGGCATCGCTTTAGGCTTTATTGTTGTTGTTGTATTCATTCATATTTCAGATCATTATGATATTAGACATGCCAATAATAAAAATGACAATAAATAACTATATACATATAAATAAATGAATATACACCTATCAAATAAAACAGGCACTACAAGTCACACACTGATGCAAATTTCAAACTCATAGACAAATTATTATTAAACAACTTAATATAATTATATACAATTGAAATGTTTGACATAAAAATAGGAAGGAAAAGCAGTGAGAACAAGTTATATCAAGACATCCCTTTGCATCCAAGCTATAATATCCCCCGTTCATCTATAATTCTTTGATATGGTTCTTGTAAGTTATTAAGTGTAGGTCCTTGACATCCTGTGGCACTGAATTTAAAAGTATGATGCCGTTATACCTAAGAGATTCTTTGAATGTCGAAGTTTTGTGTTTTGGGATGGTCAAACCTAAGTGAATTATTTTATTTGCATTCAGTTTCAGTTGGTTTCTGTCACACCAAGAAACCATAGGGTCCATGACTGAGTTTATATTGAATTCAAACTCATCTATCTATTGTGTTACCAGACACTGATATGGTAGTGTCATCTGCAAACATTACGGTATAACCATGTTTGATATATTTCGGGAGATCATTTATAAAGATTGAACACAGCAGCGGTCCTAATATTGAACCTTGTGGTACGCCAAGCATAATATCTTGAATATGTGATGCAGTGTTATTCAGAGTCACAACCATTTTTCTGTCAGATAAAAATTACTTAATCCATTCAAGCACGAATCCTCTGATACCAATGTTGTACAATTTACTGATCATAATTTCATTTACTCACTAAATCAAAGGCTTTTGCTAGATCTAATAAGATTGAGACTACATACTTTCGCTTATCAATGTTATTGTAAGTGAACTCAAATTTACTAGCAATAAATCTTTCAATCGATCTAGCTTTTCTAAAGCCATGTTGCTGATCAGATAAGATTTTGTATTTTTTTTCTCCCTATATAATCATTCATTATGTTCCACGTGGCTCATTGTCGGTTTTGCCAAACAAACATTGAACACCTGGATGGCAAGAAGATTTATGGACTTCTGGCACAATCTTCCAGGACTGGCTCACTCCAAGGCGTTTATTCACCCTTCGGAGCTTGATACCAAACAGTTGTTGGACTACAGTAGGGATGAACTAAGATGCCTAACAGGCCTCCTTACACTTACACTGTCATTTGAATCATCATATGCAGACTCTCGGACTGTCGGAAGATAGTGTGTGTCACATCTGTTTGGAAAATGATAAACAGCAGAGCACATACTTTGTGTCTGCCCCGCTGGGGACCGAATCAGGTTTTTAGAGCTCGGCAGAGCCGTACTCTCACCATCTGACCTGAAAGACCACTCGCCATACAAACTAATCGGCTTCGTTAGGAAGCTGGGTTTATTTGGTCGAGTGTGAATAAGCCACAAGCAACCCTTTCGGGTTGCTACTGTGATAGCAAAGCATTTCGTGATATTTTTGGAAATAGAATTTGTGAAGGTCAAATCGTTTCCGGTGTAGTTTGTGGAAATACATGATTTTGACAAACAAGAAAATGTAAACCAGTTATAGACCATATTGCTTAGAATATTCATCAATTTCATTTCACTTCCACAATGTTACCTCTCTTTTACCACAGATCGCTCCTCGGAGACATTATATTTTAATTTGAAAAATTTGATTAAATGTGTAAATGTTATAAAGTTTATTAACAGGTATTCAATCTTTAATTTTTTCATTTTCATTGATGATTCATTATATTTCATTTTATTGTAACCAGCTACTGCTCTATGTGGATGGAAATTCATGTACACGCGATAGTTTCAATGAAACTGTGACGAATATTGTTGATTTACTTTTACCATCCTGTAAAGTTTTTTGAATATTTTATTGATTGTTTTAAGGTGGTTGACAACGTGTCATGGTGAATTTCATCAGTTCCATTGTCTAATATAATATAAAATGATTTGAAATCCCTGAAATAATGAATAAAATTAAAATGAATAGCTGAAAATAACAATTATATTGAGCAATGAAATTTAAATAAAATACAAGTAACAATTGAAAATTGAACAATTCGAAAGGAAATAAAAATTAAAAGATTTCAAGCCAAGTTACTTCACGATGTTTCGATTGTTAATATCCACAATCGTCTTCGGGTGATGACTGGACTTATTCCTCTGAGAAATGAATATTTATAGGTCATTCGATCTCGATGGAGAGGAAAGTCCACAACGAATTCTCATTCTTAAACGTATTGGTGAAGAGGACCGACATTGGTCGGTCGGTAGCCAGGCAGTTCGACGTGGGTGCTTTGTTCACTCAGTCGATCGGCCTATGTGTGAGTCGATGGTTCAAGCCCCAAGCTAAACGCTCGATTTATTTTCACTTGCTATCGTCCAACCCGTGTAAGGAATCACACTTCGTTAGTCCTTAGGTCTCACAAGTTTCGACTTCTGAAGGTTGTCGTTCGTAGGGGTGCGACAGTTTGTTTGCGACATATTTCAAACAACATAATATATTTAAACTAAGTGGGAAACATCTGTATACTAAAAACCCTCTCATACCGGACAGCATCTGAACCACGAGTCCAATCACCATCAATCGACAAAAAGAGGAATCATCAGGACTCTAGTAGACAGTGCTTTCGAGCTGTAATACGAAGGAATGTCTCAAGAAGGAACTGAGCATCATCAAAAATGATCTCTAACGGAATGGTTACTCCAAAGTGATTGTGGAACAGACTTTGGCTAGAAGACAGCAAGAGTCTCGGAAGGAAGAGAAGCCGTCACAACCAGTACTTACACTTCTCCACATCAGAGAATTGTCGGAAAGGATAAAAAGAATTGGGTCCACGTACAACATCAGAACCTGCTTCGGATCCGGAAACACTATCCGTAGCAGCCTCATGAAAACCAGACCACCAAACGCGGACAGCGATTCCAATAATTGCATCTACCAGGTACCCTACGAGTGCGGCAAGTCCTATATTGGTGAAACTAAGAGGCCATTAAAAGTCCGCATTGCCTAGCACAAAAAAACACACACAACGAGGAGATACCATCAAATCGGAAATAACAGAGCATTTTGACTCATCAACATAACATCAACTGGTTTAGAAGAAAATTCAAAGAAGCCGCATATATGTTGTCCAACAATGCATGTAGCCAAGCTGGCGTAGAGATACGCAACATATGGAAATTCATAATCAAGCGGAAAAACGGACAACTCCCGCCAGACGGCGAGCTCCCGCTAAACTGGTGAAGCGGAGAGAGGGAACATGGGATAGGTGGAAGCTCTCGAATGACCTATAAATAGTCATCTTTCGAAGGAATGAATCCAGTCATCACTTGAAGACAGTTGTGGATACTAACAATCGAAACGTCGTGAAGTAACTTGGCTTGAAATCTATTAATTTTCATTTCCTTTCTAATTGTTCATACGAAGGGATTATCAATCTACAGATTGATAATCCCTTCCGCCCTAAATAGTCCTGAAGATGAAACAATGAAGTTTCTAAACGTCGACAATTTAGAAATTGGTTTTCTTCAACATTTTGACTGAATTCCCACTAACTTGATAATCAAAATCATATTCAACGGTCGCCATCCTATTCAAATATTACTATTATTATCAATCATTATTTTTTCCTTAAGGTCGCGCTGGTCGGGCCCGATCTCTCGAAGCCTCGATACATTTGAGAATTCGCAACCAATGACCACTCTCCTCTTCGTGGGGTAAGTGATCATTGGTTCCGAGAATCATGTGCCCTAGACAAACGCAGTGAGCCAAGAATGACAGCCTTCTGCATTTGTTCGGCTAAGATTTCTGCCTCAGTGGGGCAAGCTGGCATGATCTTGAGATTCGAGAGTAGAGAGGGCATCATTCCACCATGGACTTCAATAGTTAAAACAAACATCTTGACAGAGTGGCCTGGATAGAGTCTGTGGAGTATGAGCATTCATGGCTGTTAAGTATCACACGTTAAAAGGTAAGACCTCGTTAGTCCTTAGCTCACACAAGTTTCGCAACTTCTGAGAGTTTTTGTTCCGAAGAGAGCGACAGCTGATTAACGGAAGAACAGATTTTAAACAGACAGACAGATAAGTATAACTCCAAAAGATAGTTTATACCAGGCATGTTTCTCAAAAGTAAACTCATACTCCCATGTCAAGGTAGTACCCTGGTTCTGATTATAGCAGATACTTATTGAAGATATTGTTTGTTTTATTCAGTGAGGAATGTTTTTCTCACAATTGTCATAACTATTCTGAATATAATTTTTTCCGTACTCACCTGCAATTACAGAAGCATGCATAGCAAATCCAATATCCATGAAAGTGAGAGCCAGTTCACACTGCCATTTCAGTTGATGAGGTAAAGGTATGTAAAACATATAGGGCAAAAAATCATAGCAAGTTTTATTCGTTCCTTCGAAGGTGTCTCCCTGAATTTCTAGATTCAGATTAATAAGGGATGATATGTGTCCAGAGATGCCAACAAAACCATACAGAACGAAGACCTTGAAAAGGATAAAGTCATTCGATGACATTCTATTAATAAATATGAATATGCTTGAAGTGTAGTTTAAATAACAATAATTTCAACGTCGTCAACACAGAAGTAAGTATATGTTTTTAAAATTTCAATAACAAAATTCGAATACTTGAAAATGATAAAGAATAAAAACAATATATTTGCCAAACAGGTTTTCATTGATAGAAGAACTCAGAACTCAATATTTCACATGGGTTGAGAAGTATTTTTTGAGGTCTGCGAACAGCAGTAGTCGCTGGGAGCCAAATCTGGCTAATACGGTGGGTGTGGGAGCAATTCGAAGTTCAATTCATGTAGTTTTGTCATTGTTTTGATTGACTTATGACACGGTGCGTAGTCATGATGAAACGATATTTTTTCTTTGCCATATGCGGTCGTTCCTTCGCAATTTTGGCCTTCAAACGCTCCAATAACGCTATATAATATTAACTGTTGTTGGTATTTCCCTTCTCAAGATAGTCGATGAATATTGCACAACGCACTTCTCAAAATACCGAGGCCATAACTTTTCCAGCCGATTGTTGTGATTTCGGGCGCTTTGGACGAGGTTCACTAATTGCTCTCCACTCAGATGACGATCGTTTTGATTCCGGAGTGATGGATTCATGTTTCATCTATTGTCACATATCGACGCGAAAATTTCGGTTTATTATGTTTGAACATGGCCAAATACTGCTCAGAATCATCGAAACGTTCTTGTTTTTGGTCAACAGTGAGCTTGTGCGGCACCCACAGAGCTTTCTCATAGTCAATTGCTCATGCAATATAAAGCCAACACTTTCTTTTGATATCTTCACAATGTCAGCTAACTCACGCAACTTCACTTTTCAATCATTCAAAAAGATTTTGTAGATTTTTTATGTTTTCTGGGGTTACTGCCGCATTTGAACGTCCACTGCGTTCTGCATCATCAGTGTCTCTACGACCACGTTTGAAGTCAGCAAACCAACGTTCTGATGGAGCGTAGTCCTCATAATAATTTTCAAGCCATTGCTTTGCTTACACGGTATTTTTTCCCATCAAAAAGCCGTGTAAAATGAGAACTCGAAATCGTTTTTGATCCATTGTTTTCAAAATAACAAAAGTAGTGCCACTCTTAGCACAATAACTCACACTAAAATACAAATAGCTTTCTTTCAATGGTTAGTAATAACTGAAAAAGCGGTGACAGCAATAAGATTAGCGCCATCTATGTGTTTGGCCCGAGACTTTTCAGCCCATGTAGTAAAATTCAAAATAGTATTAGGACCTCTGTCATGGAATGAATCAGTCGAAATACTTTTTCCATGCCAGAACAAAAATATTGTATATCGACACTAGACTGTTGAGCGACAATAGACTCCTTCGATCCATAAAACCGAATATGTGAAATATATTTCTTGTAACTGGTTATTATAGTCTGCTCATTTGAGTAAAATACTTTTCGTTACAATTTTATCATCTCTTGTGTCAAGACAGTACGTAAACTAATTTGAGAGCATCAAGCGATGTTAAAAAATTAAAATAGCAAAGTTTCAGTGAGTAAAGTGTAAGATAGAAATGAGACTGGACAGCTGATACTTTTTCATGTTCAACTATGATTTTTCAAATAGCGACCACCTCTGACAAGCATTTTCGGAAAAAAAGATTTTTGCGAATCTAACGATACTAAAATATTTACGAATGGATTGACAAATTGAACAGAATTTAATATTTCAACAAAACTAACAAAATCAACTTGTCAGCGATGCACTTCAATTATTTGAAAGTACAATATCTAAATTTATTGAAAACATCACTGTAGTACATTTTCAAAGTGGATTCCTTGTTGTTCGATCGTCTCTTTCAACACGTTTCAGGAAATATGAGGTGTGTTATACTTCAAAAATCATATTTATCTTGAACCTGAACTAATCAATAAGCTGGACATCGTAGTAGGACACTCGCCTGAAATTTTGATTTTCAAGACAGGATTGAAAACTTATCTCACAAAAAAATTGCTATTGCACCATCGAAAAATATTTGCAACTCAATAATGTACCTCTCTAATGTCTGTTATTTATTTTTTTCGTATATCAGGTTGGATTCTTCTAATCTCTCCGCACACAATTCAATAGCATGAACTTTTGCTTGAAATAAAGTTGCATAGGTTCCTAGGCAGGTTGATATCTCTGCTGTCCTGGGTCTGCGACTGAAAACACCTGCACCGGAAGGTGTTTCTGATCCATATGTGAACCTTCTCCCGGAGGATTTAGTCCTCTCTACTCGGGAACATTACTTTAAAAGGCAGTTCGTAGTTAACAGTTGGAGGCAGTGTCAACCAACAGTCTGTTGCACTCTGCATTAAATTGATTTGTGTAATTGGCAATGTGCACAAGTCTATATGCAGTCCATCTAACTTTTCTCTCCAGAAAAATGAGGAGAGGAGGTAGATCTAGAAGGATTTCCATGGCCGCTGGCGGTGTAGTGTGGCCAGAAAAGCCTCTCTCTGTAAGTCAGAGAGCTTCTCCTGGACCGTTTTCTGTAAAGCCTTCACCATAAGTGATCATTGGTCTGATAATAATCACATGAATCTAATGGATTTGTTTGGGAACTAAACTCCAAGTTTTACCACAAATTCTTCGACATGTCCATAGAAACAGTCTGGCTTTGTGTTAGCATTCCAGGTGAGTTTTTTTATCAAGGACAATGCCAAGCTATTTCACCTCCGTTCCAAATGGAATGACCTCACCATTAAGGGAAAGTGGCGTTAGATCCTCCAATTTTCTCCTCCTGGTGAAGGGGATTATCACAGTTTTGCTGGGGTTGACAGACATCTGCTTCCTCAGGCACCATCTACGAACAACGTCCATCGTACTTTGGAGGATATTACAAGCTACCCTTCTCGACGTGGACCTTGTCAAGACAACAAGGGCATCTGCATAAGCTTGCAGATCTACTTTTCTTCTGTCGAGGGCATCAAGTAGACTATTCATCAGGAGAGAGTACAGAAGGGGATATAGTACCCCGCCTTGAGGGCATCCCCTGGTGACCCTGAACGTAATGGCCTCGCCTTGAAGAGCTACGACCCTTGCAGTTCTGTTTACCAGCATGGCATAGATGCAGCCAGTTATGGTTAATTCTATACCTTTCCTAGCCAGAGATGGTCCTATAGATTTGGGTCACCTAAGTGAGTGTTTTACTTGATAAAAGTAAATAAAGTAATATACAGAATTTTTTTGGTAACTCCATTGGAATTAACGAAAAATGCTAATAAAAAAAATGTTCGCTATTTAAAAAACAATAGACACGAAAATGGAATTTTACTCACTTGTCTTATCATAATCTATCTATCATAATTGCCACTTAATTTTTGCGATTGTATTTCTCAGACATAACATGAGGTACTTGAATTACTTTTCGTCCAATCACGGACAACCAGATGCGATATTAAGAGTGCTTTAAAAAATGTAGCAGGCTTGAAAACTCGGTGAAACTAAAAGATATGCACATACCTCTACACATACCATCCACCTGTACCAAATCATAAGCACCCAATATACAGGAACTTACGATTTACTGACACCCGTTATATCAGTTCTGATAAAACTACCTATTACTGAGTAATTTCTACAGGAATTGACATTTGAATTGGTAACATAAAGTATCGATATGAACATTAAAACTTCATCTACAGAAATAATTATTCCACCAAGTGGTGAAAAATTTTGAATCTTAGACATGGACGAAGCGAAATAGATGTAAAACAAATTCCGAAGGAAAATAAAACTCTTCTGCAAAATTTTTTAAAGGTATCAAGGTAATAATTGAAATATTTTCCTGTGATCAAGAAAACAGGAAGTCACTGTTATAACTCAAGATTAATTTACAGCTACAAAAAATGAAATAAATACATACCGAATAAGTGGTTATATTGTAAATTTTCATTCCTTCCTGGAGCATAACACCTGGTTTGGATTCACCCAAAGATTCGTATTGATATTTCTTATCCTCCAAAACTTGAATCAATCTCAATAATTTTCCGTGCCCGAAAGTCAACAGGCAAAGTTTCACGATCCCTGCAAAATGGGTGAGAATCATGCCGATTTGGCTGGCGAAAGTGCTGATCTTTTTTATTGACTCTTTGAATATCATACATTCACAAATGGCGATTACAAATCCGCAACTAAATAAAATCGCGACGTACAAAAAGTAAAACAATCTGATTATTATGTGCGTTTCACTTCCTGGAAACCATAGCCCAGAAAGTCTCCTGACAATTTCATTGGCTCGGAAAAAGTTTTGCGGGTAGTTCAAACTGCTTTGAACGAGATTCATTTTGTGAAGATATTCGATATCGTAAGCCATACAAGCATTTGTATTATTTATTATCTGGAAGTCATTAGAAGTTTTGAATATAGAGTTCTGCTTCATTCTATATTCATAGAAATTACTTCAATACTGAAAACAAACAATTGAAAAATGTATCAGCGGCGTCTAAGCAAGTTGAAAAAGATGGCCTCGATCCCATATTACTAATTATCGTGATGTTTTTCAATGTTGTTTCAATCTGTTTTTTCGTTGGTATCAGATCGATAGATAGGAAGTCTTTTAGCACCCGTATCAATTGGTTTTTTTATTACTAATCGTGAAAGTATTGTTTGAATTGATGGTGAATTTGCAAATCGCTAAGTGATAGATCTTGACACTTCACCAGAAAGTATCCTTGGTCCATTATCTTCTTTTGTATATAAATCATTCATCTAAGTTCATTATTGAAGGCAAATCAGTCATGTATGCGGATGAAACATCAATAATTATCACTGAAAGCTCCACTACTGAAGTGAGAAACAAAGTATTGAATGTTATTCAACAGTTCGTACAATGGTGTAATAATAACCGGTGTCTTTTGAACCTGGAGAAAACAACTATGCAATTTCCATGAATCGTCAAGGTTCTGTTCAATTTGCTCTCCAACTATAGGGACCCAACAATTCGGATTTACATCTAAAAAGTCAGCTGAACTGGGTCTGATTACCTACGTTGATTTTTTGTCTGATGCTCTGTCAAAGGGTTTGCAAGTTGACTCTGTGTACACTGATTTCTCCAAAGCTTTTGACAAAGTTAATCATGTTGATCAATCAATCAAAGTTGATTCATAAACTTTGTTTATATGGTGTCGATGGGCAAATATTGCAGTGGCTCAAGAGCTATCTTACGGAAAGAACACAAATTGCTAGAGTTGATCATTACTATTCTCATACCATCGCAGTTTGGGACCACTGTTGTTTAACCTTTTTATCAACGATCTAATTACCTATTTCCATGGAAGCGAATCTTTGCTATTTGCCGATGATTTAAAATGTTTCAAAATAATTAATGCGTTTGAATGCATCCAAATGCCAAATTCTTTGCCTTCATCGAACACATCAACCAATCAATCTCGGATATAGTATAAATAATTGGACCTTACATTCTGCTACTGAAACGAAAGATCTAGGTGTGATCTAAGACTTCACACTTAGTTATAAATCACACATTTCCTCTGTAATTCATCTATGAAGATACTTGGCTTTATAAATAGAACCACTCATTATTTCACTAACATCACTGCTATCAAATCTCTTTATTTTTTCCTGGTTAGATCTCATCTCGAATATTGTTCCACAGTTTGGTCCCCTCATTATGTTACACAAAAAGTGAAACTCGAGGCCGTACAGTACAATTTCCTGCGATATATTGCCTTCAAGATGCATGTATACTATAATTATACTGCATTGAAATGCATTTTGAACATACCTTCTCTTGAGGCTCGCAGAAAACATAAGAGATCAAATACTTCTATTCAAAATTTTCAACGGACTGAGTATCAGACCCGAGCTTCTCTCCAAAATATCTTTACATGTCTCCAGTCGTTCAACTAAACAGGTGCAAACGTTTTACGTTTCTTTTCACAGATTCAATTATTCATATAACGGCTTTATTCCCAGAACTGTTCGATTGGCTAACTCTTTAAATAACCTTTAAATCTTTAATATATCAGTTTTCCGCATTCAAAACCATATTTTTCACTTTGCCATCTAATACTCTCTGCTTGTGTTTTTTGTTGTATTGTGTCTAGTGTTACTTGCTTGTAAGAAGTATATTACTTCATATTGTTATACATTTTAATTTCTCTTAAATAATCTACTTGTTATCTTACTTCGAAATTGTATTATTCTTATAATTAATTTTTAATCCACTGTATTGCATCGAAAACTACTTAGCACAGAACTCATATCTGAATTGGGCTTGCCCACTTCAGATGTGAGTACACTTCTACTAAATAAATAAATATCGAAAACATTTTTATGTGTACCTGATGCAATAACATTGACTTTCTAGAAACAATCATTGTTGATAAATTTATGTTGTCGGAGCAGAACAATTTGTGTAAAAAACTGAATCAGTCATATTTTGCTATGAATAATATCAAATCTTCACTTATCAGAAGTTCATTAATACATGTTTATCGGGGTGGTCCCCACAAGTACCCGACCTGACCTAGAGATGGCGGTAGTTATTTGAAAAATATCACTATTAGAAAGAACACAATCTATAAAGCATATGTAAAGACGCTGCGTTATTTAGTATTTATTTGGCAGTCATCAATAGTGAACGTTTTAGGTGAATTTGTGATAATGGAGAAAATTGGTCATTGTTATGTGGTAAAATACGTTCATTTGAAAGGCCTTAGCCCAACCAATATAAAAGGTGAACTGAATTCTACTCTGGGTGAGTCTGCTCCTTCGAACGAGGTCTTATGCCGAGAAGAGCATCTCAGTGGTCGATCAAATGAGGTGACGACTCCAGAAACGGTGACGAAAATCCACAAATCGGTACTGATTGATCGTAGACTGAAAGTGCGCGAGCTAGCATCTTTAGCAAGGCATTTCAAAAAGTGCGGTACATCGTATATTATCAGAAAAAATTCGGACATGCCGTGTGCAAGGCACGGGTGCCGCGTTTGCTCACACTCGAGCAGAAACAGTGTGGTAAATGTTTCAATTGGGTGTTTAGCAAAGTTTCACAACAACAAAGCATAATTCTTGCGTCATTACATAACCATGGATGAAATAATATTAGTCGATCACTTCACACCCGAGACAAAAAACAATCAAAACAGTGGACTCAAAAGGGAGAACCGGTTCCAGAGAAGGCGAACACCGTAGGCAAGGCGAACTTATTGCAACGTTTCAATGAAGAAATCAAGCAAATCAAGGCTAAGAAAAAAGTGTCATTTCATCAAGACAATGCACCAGCTCACGATTCCATTATCACAATGACCAAAATTGAAGAATTAAAGATTGAATTGCTATCCCAAGTACCATATTCGCCAGATTCAGTCCCCTTGGGTTATTTTCTGTTTCTAAACGTAAAAAATGATTATGTTGAAAAATATTTTTTTTCCACAATTTTTGTGTTTTCTTTGTTGGGCCGGGTACTTCTGGAGCCCCCCTCGTATTAGGTACGTTCCAGTTCATTCAGTGATAAGTTATAATATAATTACATAATTACAAGCCACTTAATATGCCTCATTTCCAATTTAGATTATACTTAATCATGCAGGACCACATTTAAAGAAAACAAAATTCTTACTGTTGTTGCATTGTATATTCTAAAGGTTCCAACTTACATCCACAGCTGAATAAAAACCGTACCGGCAGCCGCAGATGTATAGTCGAAGTAAACGATATTGTGCACTCTTAAAGTTGGCGGCAGTTTCAAAGACCAAAAAACCAATATTTAGAAATGAACCGGTAGCGAACTAGTCCACGTGGACTGTAGACTTGGCGGTTTGTATTGGAAAATTTTCACTAACCGAGTTTTATGATGTCTGAAGAGTTATATAATTAAATTTGAAGTCATGTTAGGGTGACGAATAGAAATCGGGAATGCGGGGATGGTTATCACCGTCGTGTTCAGTTCAGGAACTGATCGCAATTTCAGTGATGAGATTCGATATTAGTGCAGTTATAATAACTTTAAAATTTTTGTTATCTCTTTAAAATGTGGCGTCGTTGGATAAGTACTAATAGAAATAACGAGTGTGATAACAACGCAGATTTTTTACACTGTAGTGATTCCAATATCCATCGTGAACAATGCGAAAAAGAGATACCAGTGAATAAGATTTGGATGCATTTGAATATATTGAAACACAGAGAGTATGTTTCAATGTATATAAGAACCTACATCTCAAGTTTGGTTTGACTGAAATTTCTTTCTAAACTGTACGTAAAATAGTCAAAAAAACCTTATGAACGCAAGACGCGATGTGATGCAGGATTACCAAAACTTTTAGATGTTCATCTAACAAAATCATTAAAAAAAAAACAATATACGACTGTTACAAAAGCAATGAGATTCCTACAACTGAAATTATAAGGAAGAAATTGAATACTTCTGGCCATAAAGTGAGCTGCTGTGACAAAACTCTTCAGAATTGGATAAAGAAACTAGGATTTAGATTCAAAATAATAAACAAACGTCAAGCAGGTATGGAAAGCAGAAGAATAATGAAATTGCGTAACAAATACTTAGAACAAATAACTAAATAAAGACAAGAAAAACGGCAAATTTTTTATTTCAACAAAGCTTGGTATGACACTCACGACACAGTCATGAAAGGGTAGACTGATGGTTCGAGAATGTGTACGCATAACATGCCCGCAAACAAAGTATCGCGACTAATCATTGTGCATTGCGGAGGAAGAAAAGGTTGGGTTACGAATTTTTTTAAATTATGCGAAAAAAAAATTGAGGACTGCAATCTTGACTATCATAAGAACATGGATATGGCTACGACAATAGGTTCTTCCGTGACAATATTGGAGATCGTAGAACATCAAAGAAGAAAATTTCAGGTACACTCACAGCGACTAACTAGAATAACGTAAACGATAAGAAAAACTGTTGTGAGAACTTTTAAGAGTATAGAAGAAAAAGACCCTGTGAATATCGTATATCCATAGAAACGGTAGTTTTACTATCAACGTGTGTGATAGCTTGTGTTCCTTCTATTCATCCATTCTTATCGAGAGAAAGAAGCGATATTGAAAGATATGAAAAGGAGATACCAAGAAATAACTATTCAACAGTACCGCAGTCGCGTGATGGATATAGAGGTGCAGGCCTGTCGCGAAGCAGGTCCTGCACCTTGTGTCATGTTTATGTTCAGCATATGCGGTCTCAGCCTATATCCATCTATATAACGCAGCCCTAAGAGTGCTTTATTACTACCTACGGCACTCTTACGGCATTGACGAGACACCGGTGTTGCCCTACGCTCCGGGGAT